GGCCACCCCCGACCCCGATCCGCTCCCGTTCTCCGCACGGGCGGGCGCATTCAAGCGGCTGCCGCGCGCGCCGCCGTGTCCCGTGTCCCGTGTGCCGAGCACCTGCAGCAACAGTGAGCGCCCAGACACTCCGCGTACGGTTTCTGGGGTCTGATCCGTGCGCCCGCGAGCGAACGAACGGCTGCATCACTCACCGCGGAGAAAGCCACACCACTCGGCGGTGCTCTCTGCTGGCTGAGGCTGCCTGCCTCTGTTTGGCTGCGACGTCCGCGTCTTTCCGAGCTCCGCCAGGCCCGCCGAGCGCAACCACCGAGCGAGTGATCGACCAACCGGTCAATCGATGCGTGTCGCGGGCATGCATGGCCCGGCTGCCCGCCCGTCTACCGCTAGGGACCTCGTGGTCGTGGCCATGCATATGCATTGGGCTTGCCCTTCACCGGTCGAGCACGCACTGACCGTCGTCTACGCACAGTCCACGTCACAATAACGTTCCTGCCGCCTGTCTGCCTGCCTGCTCAGTTGTCAGTTCATCACTAGCGAATGCTGATCAATACCGAGCGCCACTCTGAATTTCACGGCGTGTGTGTCGTCGTCGCAGGCAGCTGCTCCACGTTGCCATTTCAACCGTAGCTGAGACTGAGAGATCAGATCATCCAAACTTCCGTCCCAAATCGGTGGCGCGCGAGCTATTCACGCCACGCCACGATGAGGGGACTTCAGGGAACCATGCATTGCGTTGCATGCATCTAAACCGAACACGACAATTCCCACCGGCCGGTACGCTGCACCGCCAGGGGCGGCGTTTTTGGGAACGAAGAAGAGCTCGATCCGATCCTGACCTGGCACGTTGTCTTCTTCCCGACACGATCGAGCGAGGCCCACAGAAACGAAGCGTGGCTCAGGTAGGTGCAATGCAAGTGTGACCAGCGCTGCCGCTCCGGTGCCTGCCGACTGCCGTCCTTCTCGCGTCGCGGCCATCCTGTCCAGATCCTTCTCCGTCATACAGATCAGCCGTCGCTTTCGCCGCTCCTTGTGTGGTGGTGTGCTGTGTACTTGCATGATTGCATCGCATTGGATCCTCCCATGCAGCGGCGCCACATCAAGCTAGACATGAGCCACCGCCCACCTCGAAACGAAAAGCAAATTAGAAACAAAAAGCAAATCATGCAATGCCCTTTTGTATTGTATGTCCTGCAAGTTAAAACTGAACCTTCGCTTTCGTCTTGTTCTTTCCAAAAGGTTTATATGATTGTTGGCGCTACAGCTGGGTTGCTAAGACCTGTGTGCAGTGTCTACAAGCGGACACGAACTGTTCCGCCCATGCCGGTGCTCGTGCTAGTGCTAATCAGATCGACTCGAGGCACCGGTCTTGGGGGGCAGAGTCCATGGCCATGGCATCTTCAGTCTCGCAGTGTCGTACGTTTTCGTGGCATGCCGACCCAAAAGATTCCGTCTCTAATGAGGCTATCCATAACAGCATCTACTAATTGTTTAAGATCACATTGCTCACAGCTACTTGCTCCTCGTCATCTTCCTCGAAACTGAGCTCAAAATATTATACACTACACACGCTGATCGCTCATACAGTACATCAGCATCACTGGACTACTGACAAGTATTTATTTATAAATATATTGCAAGTACAAATGAAACCAGGGGCCTGCTTCTGCTTGATGCTCCAGCACGAGGGGGCCATGGCATGATGGAACAGATCGCTTGCAGACAACTACCCTGTTCGCTGGTTGGTTTCTGGGCTGATAAACCTGATTGGTGCTGATTTATTGTGAGAGAAAAACATTGTTGACTGGCTGATAAGCCCTGCCTGAAACCAACAAGCGAACAGGCTAAACGCATGCCCTGTCCTGAGCCAGTCCAAGAACTCTCACAACCACATCCACGATTCCAGATACATGTATTGCCAAGCCCCATTTTTAACACCACTGCAGAAATGGTCCATGCAGAGTCATGATTAGCAAGGTTCGAACGTTCTGTGTGGATATCTCGAGAGTGCAAAGAAAACAAATGCTTCAGGTACATGTTACACAAACCCATCCAAAGATGGATGTAGGCTAGGCACATATGCTAATCAAAAGCTCATGAAAAAGAATGCGAGAAGATGACGACGTACCTCAAGGAATTTTGGTCGGTGGAGCCAGAATGTCTTAACCAATTAGCTGTGTTTTTGGTAGAGAGCATCAACACATGAAGCATAACTATGTTTTTTTTAAAGCGTAACCGTGTATGCTAATGATATCGCTATAGGTTATGTTCGTTTGGTGAACGTATATGTTGCCTAAGATTATGCTATTTTTGTTAATTATTAGGTAAACCAAGGACAATGTTGGACCAACGTGCTGCTCCGCGAAAGGAAAAATATTAACTACTTCAGTTGATAGAGAGTTGCCAACTCCTGAAATACCACGTATAATGCACTTATATTTATCCGCAGTGCTAGCGCCCGGACGTTCGGACGGACGCCCGGGCCTGCACTCCATCTCCCCCACGCACCCGCATCCTGTGCCCACCTACGCGGGACTTGCGCCGCCCAACTGCATGTGGAGAGTCCCCGCTCGCGCCCCCTCCGATTTTCACCTGCATGCACGCGGCCAGCAGCTGCAGTAGGTGACTACAGCAAGTGGCTACGCCAGCATCTAGAAGACTACGACACCGGGATGAGTAGGAGGAGGCACCGGGAAGAAGGTGAGACAACAGAAAAGCGAAGACAGAGATGTAACACCTGATCTACTTTTGAAACATTCGGATGCAACACTTGCAACATACGTCTGAAGGCAGATGAAACACATGAAACATGCATCTGAAACACTAGCTGCAACACCAGATCTACTTTTGAAACATCCATATGAAACACTTGCAACATACGTACGAAACAGTTGAAACATTCGAAACATGCGTATGAAACACTTGCAAAAAACACCTGAAAACACTTCATATGTGTGACATCATATGCAACATCCAAATGAAACACTTGCAAACATACGTCTTGAAACGAGATGAAATATTTGGAACATACACTTGAAACATACGTGTATAACCACTGCAACATGTGCAACATTCCGATCTAGTTTTGCAACATCAAGATGAAACACTTGCAATATTCAGATGAAACACCTGAAACACTTAAAACATACTCTTGCAACATGGGCTTTGCTTGGACGAATAGAGGCACGCCAGCGCGGAGGTCGGCGGCGGCGCATGGACCTCGCTGTGCGGCAGCAGCACGTGCAACTCGCTAGCGGGCGCGGTGTCACACGAATCCCGTCCCCCTCGCCTGCTTGCTGGAGCATTTGTCGTGGAGGCTCGCCGGCTCGATGGAAGCGGCCGCGGCTCGCCAACTCGTGGAGGCGGTCACAACAAGGAGGTAGTCCGATCGAGGTGGGCGAGGCAGACTGGGCCCGATGGGGAATGCGGCGTAGAGGAGGAGGCAGCGGAAGAGGCCAGCAGGGGAGATGGCGGGCGAGGGGGTGTGTGGTGGGCGGATGGGTACGGTGACACAGGGAGGATACGGAACAGCGAGCATCGGGGCGCGCGGACGGGACGAGCGGATAGGGTCGCTGGGTGGGCGGCGCGTGTGAGAGTGAGCGGAGGGAGACGTCTTTCTGTCCAGACGTCTTAATTGTATCATTATCGTATATTTATATACTCCGTATTTCATATGGTTGTAGATGACAACGTTATGGAATCCACATTCCACAAGATGTGAAACAGAGGTTTCATAATCTAGTCCATGTCATTTTGCCAATGCGTGCGCTGCATCACGTTGTGGACATTTTCATGGTATACTAGACGACTGTGCGCTGCATCACGTTGTGGACATTTTCATGGTATACTAGACGACTGTGCTTTTTATCGTTAGGCACAAATACACTCACGCTCGTTCCTACAAATGCAAGTATGTACATTCTACGGTCTCTTTGGAACATAGGATTTTCGAAACACATGAATGAAAAAAACATATGATTGAAGTTGCATGGGGCTTACAATCTGAATTCAAAATACACGGAGCTTTCCATTGTGGTATTTGGATGCAACACAGAGAAAAAAATGCAGAAACACTAAGAGAGACACAAAGGGAAGTTTCCGTGAGATCCAACCTTATACTAGTTTTCTTCCAAAATTTCTATTGTTTTATACGTTCCATAGAAATCGAAAGAAATTCTATAGGATTTAATCTTTTGTTTCAAAGGAGGGCATATTGGAAATTTTTCTATAGGATTTTAATACCCTAAGATTCCAATGCTTTTCTGTACGAGTATCTCGATTGACAAATCTTGAAATTCATAAAATTATTATTGACGTCTTGTTGTTAACGATCACATCACCTATCACTTAAAGAACAAAAATACTCACTCTATCATAAAAAAAATACAATTCTAGCATAGTAACAAGTCAAACCATTTTGAATTTAACCAAGATTTATGATATCTAATAAGTATCATTAGGTTCACGATAGGATATACTTTTATTAGTATATCTATTTGATATCATAATAAACATCGATACTATTTTCTATAAGTTCGGTCAAGTTTTAGATAATTTGATTAATTACATATTTTTAGCAAGGAAGTAGTATTCCCTCCGTTCTAAATTATAAGTCGCTTTGACTTTATATAAAAAAAAGATAAAACGACTTATAATTTAGAACGAATGAAGTATTAAATAAGAACATGCATGCTGAGTCGAAGACGACATGTTCTATCACAACAAATGACTATTGCATGTTCGGTCACTCTACAGTTCAGCCCAATTTTCCGTTTGTTTGGAATTTATACTGCCTCGATTCCTTGCCGATCACAATTTTTAGGAACTTTATTTACATCCTTCATGAAAAATAAAGATTTGAGGGAAGGACAAAGTGAAATTCAAATATAAACAGGGTACAAACCATGCTGCAGCATTTCTTTCTCACAACAAAACACTGCAGCATTATTAACATGCAGAAATGCAGAGAACATTGACGATGTTTAGAAGGCGCCTTTTTATTAACGAGCTGGCCCCTGGGCGATAGCGCGGTTGGCGACGAGGCTGGTCGTGCCGTACACGGGCAGCTCGTCCGCGCCGGCGCCACGAAGGCTCTCCAGCTCGAAGAGGTCGGAGCTGGCGTCGCTCCCCTCCTCGTCCTCCTCCAGCTCCTCGAGGCTCCGCACCAGCTCCTCCACCCTTCGCCGCACCACCACCGACGCCTCGGCTTCCGGGCGGAGCCTCACCGTCCTCGGCTCCGACGGTTCCGCCGGCGCGTCAGCCGCTTTCGCAGCGCTCGTCGCCGACATGCGCGGAGGCTGCGGCTGCGAGATTTTGGGCGGAGGGGTTGCTGCCGGAGTCTTGGGCTTCCTTTGGAGGCGCGCCGAGGAGAACAGAGCCTTGAGGGCGCACGCAAACGTCGCCGGCGACGGCGGCTGCGGCTGCGGCCCGGACGACGATGCTGATGGCACTGAGGCCTTTGGTCGGATTCTTGCAACAGGGAAACACGGCCTGGCCTTCTTCTTCGGTTTGCTCTTGTGTGGCGGCGGCGGGGTTGCCTCCTCGGCGTCCGTGGCGACGGATTCCTCTGACAACGACACCCGCGGCGGTAGGGGCGGGCTGTGGCGGCGGCGGCACGTGGACGACTCGGTATCCGTGATCGACGCCGACGAGCAGGAGAAGCTGCTGTAGCTAGCCGCCGACGAGTCGGACGACGACACGGTCGACGACGCGTACCCCGAGTGGCGCGGGCGCGCGACGCCCGTCTCCCCCCGCCGGCGCCTGCTGTCCCTGTCCCTGTCCGCGCTCGACGAAGACTGCCTGGGGCTGGGCTTGGCCGCCTCCTTATTATTCGCCCACCAGAACTGCGCCGTCGTCGCGGTCGCGGTCGCGGCCGCTTTATTCTCCTCTGCGCCACTCCCACGCGCGGCGTCAACGACGACGGCGTCCGCGCCACCGCCGTCGTCGAGGGAGCGGTAGATGGCGTCCAGGAGCGACGCCGAGAAGGAGCCGCTGGACGGCTGCCGGGTGCGATCCCCGCGCGCCCGGCGCGGCGGCGGGGAGCGGCAGCGGTGCGGGTGCTTGCCGCCGTGGCAATGGCCGCGCCGCTCCATGTCGTCGGAGAATCGCGCGCTGATCGCACCGCACCACCAGCAAGCGCCGACGGACGACGTTCGAAAGTGATATAGCTAGAGAGGCGATTAGGCGAGCTCGTCGCTCACGCGATGTGGATGTGGAGTGGAAGAGGCGAGGAAGGTGGGAGTGGGATCGATGATGATGAGGATCGGAGCAGGAAGAGGGCAAGACCTGCGCGGTAAGGCTTATATATGAGTTGGTGTACGTGCAGCCGAGTGGTGGAAGGAATCCGCTGCGCTGGCGTGTCAGCATGTGCCCTTCACTCTCCTCGCGCTTGCCTTCGCCTCGACGACGCCACCAACCGGGGTCGGGCGCGGCCGGCCATTATTTGCGCGGCCATCAGATACGTTGTGCGGTGGTGGTGGCCGGGCCGTTCTATCATTTGCCCGTCTGCCAGCCCGGGCGTCAAGTCACCGCGCGCGCGCGGACGACGGACGACGGACGACGGACGCAGCACAGCTGAAACGGCATGGGCGCGCCAGTGCTGATGTTGTACAACACTACAACAGCGTGTCATTTTCATGCACAAGAAGATGTAGTACACTTGAGCAGAGTTTGTCATGAGCGAGCGTCCAAGCAACCGGATCAAATTATTAGAGACACGATGGAGCGGGCGACCGGCCCCTGACCAGCTCAGCTTGTCATTCATTCATTTGATTCATGTCTCGTGCTGACAAATTGCACGGGACCAGGCATTGTGAGGTGACACGAGAGGTACCGTCTACTAACTATTAGTCTTGTATTGTATGCATAGGAATTAACCGACGTTTGTCACCAAAAAAAAAAAAGAATTAACCGACGCTTTTTAGCATGAAAGGCACGATCATGAGTCATGAAATTAAATATCTATAAAACTACAGGATACAACTTTTATTGGGAGCGGATGTTTCAGCCATATTTAATTTCATTCTATATGATATAATAGTTTCAGTAACAACACCATGAATCTCCTCACTGAGGCTAGTCTTATAACCAACATGTCAAGTAAACTAATCTGCTGATGAATCACAATATTAAATACAAACAAAACTCAAATAAAATCCCAACTGAAACTGTCCTGACTCTCGTCCAGAACGGCAACTAGCCACACGTACGCGCACAACTTTTCTGTTCTCTCGAGGTAGAAAAACCAGGCGAACTTGATTTATTGATGCTGAGATGCTAGCACCCAGACGTTCGGACGCACGCGTGCGTCTGAACGCCCACGTCTGCTAGTCCGTTTTCCTACACCTCATTTCCCGCACCGGCTCGTTTTGCATGCCGCCCACATGTCTCCCGCACCGACCGACCACACGTGGGCGCCCGCTTGGCGACGCCCCAGCAGCTGCAGCATGCAACTACGGCAGACGTGGGTTCTATTCAACATGTGCAACATCCAATCTATTTTTGCAACATCCAAATGAAACACTTGCAACATACGTCCGAAGCAACTGAAACACATGTAACATACGTCTGAAATACTTGCAAAACACCAGAAAAACTTAAAAGCATGTGTGTAGCAATTGCAAAACATTGCAACATCCAGATGAAAACACTTGCAACATACGTAGTATGAAAACACATGAAACACTTACATATATATGCAACATGCAGATCTGCTTTTGCAACATCCAGTGAAACACTTGCAACATACGTCTAAAACAGATGAAACATTAGGAACATACACTTGAAACATACGTGTATAGCCATTGCAACATGTGTAACATCTCGATCTACTTTTGTAACATCCACATGACATGCTTGCAACATACCTCTAAAACATCTAAGATATTTGAAAGATACATTTGCAACATGCGACGTATTCTGATGTGGCCTCCTCCGTCGTCAACAGCGGGGCACCCGCAGCCATAGCAGGGGCGCGAGGCCAGAGGGATTCCACGCCAGGCCTGGCGCTTCTCCTTGCGCCGCGCGATGGCCTCGGTGGCCAACTGGTGAGCGAGGAAGTTGTTCCCAAGCGTGGGCGCAGTGGGGCCCGCGCCGTTAGGCGGGGCGGGCGGCGGAGCAAGAGCAGCGGCAAGGGAGGTCCGGTGGGTGTGGGGGCTTGAGCGATGGAGGTGGCAGCGGTAGAGTTTTGGGGAATAAAAGAAAGGGAATGCCATGGACGATGGACGAAGCAGAGCAGGGGAGGTCTCCTTTTCTTATCCTTATCCGGCCGGTGCACGATAATAAAAAAACTAGAGGCCTATTTGGTTGGTCCATAGGCCGTGCGGTGCAACTGTAGGCTCAGGAAGGTCCCTGAAAATAGCATTATTGTTTTTTTTTGAATCACAACTACCGTTTATTGATCTACTAGATAAATACTTGTGCTTCGCAAAAAAATATAATATCATGATAATGGTAATATGAACGTGTAACAAAAAGTATTTTTGAACGTGATGTTACAACATCAATATTATGATAGCAATAATGTTCTAATTGTGTCCTCCAATACACCTAAGTTCCACATCTTCTTAACAACATCCTTAGAGTACTAACTTGGCAAGCACCAGTAGTCAAGTAGTTAGAACCTCTTTATAAACGATATTCTTCGTAAATATATCCTTTTCTGACTTCTTCTTTTCCTTCTCCTCGTTGACGTCCTTCTCAATAGCCAGCATGATCAAGGTCCTAATATTCGATCTTGTTGTAGCTCTTGATATTGCTACGTATAACTGTCCAGGCGAGAACACTAGTTCTGATAGGTATACCCCGACGTTAGGGATAGTCTGCCCATGTGCCTTGTTAACCGTCATGGCGACGCTGAGCCAAATGGGAAACTGCTTACGTTTAAATTGGAAAGGGAACATCTCGTCGTCAGACGGGCATAAGGGTATGCGAGTCAGACATCCTTCTCAATAGCTAGCAATGACCAAGGTCCTAATATTCGATCTTGTCGTGGCTCTTGATATCGCTACGTATAACTGCCCATGCGAGAACACTGGTTCTGATAGGTACACCCCGACATTAGGGATAGTCTGTTCCCTGTGCCTTGTTAACAGTCATGGCGAAGCTGAGTCGAATGGGAAACTACTTACACTTAAATTGGAAAGGAAACATCTCGTCGTCAGACGGGCATAAGGGTATGCGAGGCAGAAAAACTCGCTTTCCAGCATGCTGTCCCAACACAATTTCTACGTCTATAGTATTCTTTTGGAACCCCAAATGATAAGCCTGGTACCATTGCAAAGTCCGTTCGCAGGGTCAATGTTTCTAAGCAATATGACTAGGCAGCCAATCTTCAGTTTTAGCACATGTGGCGGTAGACCATTTTGGTGTCAAAGTGTTAAGAAATTCCTGAGGGTAGTAGTTGTGTGGATCGTTCATCGCACAGTCGAAGCTATGGTACACCATCTGATCCCCTTGAAAATGGTCTATCATCTTCATGTTAATCATGTCGACCCATTCGTTCCGCGTAGACAATATCGCTCGAGAGGTAATGTAGTCTTTGTTTTGCATATTTTCATTGAGCCTAGGAAATATGCAATCAATCAGCGTATCAAGATCGCCATCTTTCACGTTGTACGGTAAGCATATATCACGAGGAAGATGGACATCATCATCATTATTGGCCTCAATACCCTGCCTCTTTATCATGGTAGCCTCATCCCAAATAATTAGGGATGCAATTTGAAGCAACTTGGCAGTACCACTCTGTTTTGTGAAGCTGCAAAAGGACCCATTGTCGATGTTGAGGGGAATCTTGAAGTGCGAGTGAGCGGTTCTGCCACCAGGCACTATCGAGGCTGCAACACCAGATGTAGTTGTTGCCACGACAATCTTATTTTAGCTACGTATAGTAGCAAGCAGAGCCTTGTACAGATAAGTCTTTCCGGTTCCACCAGGTCCATCCTCAGATAAAGTATCACCATTTTTTGTATCAACAACAGACATAATCTCATCTACACGCGCGGCCAGGTTTTTGGTAGGGAGCCGAGGAAGGTTGGGCCTGCAGTTCGATACGGATACGGATATACTACTCGGAATTTGACGGCCAGCTTTTTTGGTAGGGAGCCGAGGAAGGTTGGGCCTGGTTTGGACTGCAGTTCGGGATACGGATATACTTGGAAGTTTCTAGGAATTTGACGTAGCCACGGCAATATACTCGGAGGCACGTACACCAAATTTTTTTGGACGAAAGGTCTACGTGGTTTTTAAGTAACAGATAACATATTTCTTAAACGAAGTACGCACAACCTGTGTTCTCGACGTAGAAAACCAGGGGAACTTGATTTTCGATCCAGTGGTCCGGCCCAACTCAAGAACTCGGCCCAATGGTCACCGTCGACCAAAGTCATTCCAGCCGAGGTGGCAGGTCCACGAGTAGCAATTAGGAGCAGAACACAAGCATCCCTCATGTAGAACCTCGATTTCTCTTTATATATACTATAGTTAATTATTGTTGCTAAAAAAAATAATTATTAAAAAATAATATTATCTCAGAGTTATTTTGAATACAAATCTATTGATCTAAGTTTTATGCTCTAAACTTGTATATAATTTGACTAATTGTTGATCAAAATTTGTAAACTTTGACATTTCTTCTAGGCTTCTAGCCAAATACGACTATCATTTCTTGATGGAAGGAGTATAAGAGATCAAAGCGCCAGACAAAATGAAATGTCTGATAACAGACCACCTTATCCCTCACTAATTAGCAACGGAGAGTAGTTCAATTGTTATTTTTCATTTGCTTATTTTGGATGACCCTAAGTTAAAAAAGAATCTTAATATTTTTTTGATAAAAAACAGAGACAGAGGGTTGAGGACCAGAATACCATATTCTTGATACAAATTTTTATCTTTGGATCCATTTAATTTTTTCTCGATCGTACCAAGAGGTACGTATTTCATTAAGAGGAAGTAGAGTTATTAAATTACAAATTTAAACAGTAATCCAAGGATTACGCCAACAAGGGAAGCAACCCAAAGTTACAAGCCGGCACTACGAAAGAACACTTGAGAGCGACCGAGGAAGCAGCCGACGCAGTCGCCTGAAACCTGCCAAATATGTCAACCAAACGGCATTGGTGGAATCGCCGCGGCTCTTGTCCGTTTGCCCATCCATTGGTCGGCTGGCCGCCGCGACATGCTATGCTACGCGAATTGCTTTGTTCCTGCAGAAAGAGCTTCACTAAAGAATTGGCATGCTATTGCCAACTCGATCCCTTATCTGTTTGTTAAGCCTGTGCTGGGAACACTCAACCGGCTCAACAGACAACAGATAACACGGTTTGAACTTTGAACTCCGATCGCTCATGCCAGCGACACCGATGAGCGGGGAAGATCAGCACCGCGGCCTCCGCGGCCGCCTCTCCGGGTTCTTCTCCACGCCGCCCTCACAGAACCACCGTTCCAGCGAGCAGGTACGGCACGCACGCATCCGGCATCAATCAGGGCCTGATGAAATGATCTGTATGTAGTTTCGCAGTTGTTTCGTGCTGTGGTTTCGAATCACAGACAACACAAGGTGCGCTGTGATGCATTGCCAAGCAGGTCGCGAAGCTGATGGAGGAGCTCGAGAGGCAGAGGGATCTCAAGGAGACGTACAAGGCCCGGTTGGAGAGCACGCAGGAGTACCTCAGGTTCTGCCTCGAGGTCGCCCAGGAGCACGGCTTCCTGCACCTCATATCCGACGGCGCGCCGCAGCAGTCGCCGCACGGCGACGCCGAAGCCGAGCCCGCGACGAATGTCGACACCGACGACGCGGACGAAGACTACCCAGCGGAGGCGCCGCCCTGCGACGATCCGTACCTGGCCGCCACGCGCAACCTAGCGGTGCAGCACGGCTGGTCCGTGGCTCCGGACGAGGTAACTAGCGACCAATCATCAACTAACTCGCAGCAAGCAAACCATTGTGACTGACCAGTGCGTGCTCCGGCCATGGATGGAACAGATCGAGCTGCACGAGGTGATAGGCCGGGGCACGACGGCGGACATCCACCGGGCGACATGGCGGGGGCTGGACGTGGCGGTGAAGTGGGTGCGCCCGGAGTTCTTCCGCTCCAACCCCAGCGGCGAGGCCTTCTTCGCTCAGGAGGCCGACGTGCTGTCGCGCCAGCGGCACCCGCACGTGCTGCGCCTGCTGGGCGCGTGCCTGCGCCCGCCCGACAGCTGCTTCCTGGTGACCGAGCTGCTGAGCGGGGCCACGCTGGGGGAGTGGCTGCACGGGGGACGGGAGCGCCGCCCACGGGCGTCTTCGTCACCGCCGCCGCCGCCGCCGCTGGTGGACAGGGTGAGCAGGGCGCTGGAGATCGCGCTGGCCATGTGGCACCTCCACGAGCAGACGCCCAGGGTCGTGCACCGCGACCTCAAGCCCAGCAACGTGCTCCTGGATGCTGACCTGCGCGCGCGGGTCACGGACTTTGGCCACGCCAGGTTCTTGCCGGACGGGAAGGAGGCGCTCACCGGCGAGACGGGTACGAGATCACAGTGCACAAACATGCATGTGCGAAGCCCGAGTTCTTACTAATTTTTTCTCCCAAAGTTTTTCAACATTTTTGTTAGGGACCTATGTGTACATGGCTCCTGAGGTGATTCGCTGTGAACCGTACACGGAGAAATGCGACGTCTACAGCTTCGGCATCATGCTGAATGAGCTGATGACTGCAGAGCATCCATACATTGAAACAAGCTATGGACCTAGCAAGGTGAATTCACATCCTACCTACAGATCATCTGTACTCCTGTAGAACATGGAGACAGTGCCTATAAATTGTTCAGCATCCATGACATGATGCTTGAATTTTACTTGGCAGAGCCTAGCTGCATTCTCAACTTTCTTGATTGAAAAGTTGTGCTATACCGGCTGATACTTTGTTCATAAGTAAGTAGCTGACATGCTAATAAGTTTGTAATGTTGTTTCACAGATTGCGCTGAACGTTGCAAATGGAACATTAAGGCCAAAACTCCCAGAACGTGATGCATGTCCTACTGGCCTCACTGATCTCATCTGCCGGACGTGGGATGCAGAACCTTCAAACAGGCCGTCATTTGCCACTATAAGTTTGGCACTTAGAGAAATCAAACAGCAAATCGTGCAACAAAGAGAATATAACCAGCATTCGAATTATGCATAGACTTATCTTTTAGTGAAAAATATTTGAAAGAAGTGTAATGTATGGTACTGTGTAGTCCAATCTCCCTGAACTTGTGCTGCTGGTTGCATTTTTTGTTTAGTTTTCAGTATCAGATTTCTCGTAGCGGTATTTATTTCTAAAGAAAATCTGGTCGGGGTAGGAATGGATAACGGTAACGCGGACAGCTTTTTGTCACAATTAGTCTATATTTATCATCTCTTTCCTACTCCCACCGTCCTAAAAAACTTAATGTTTTAGTTTTGTTCTAAGTCAAATTATTTTTACTTTAATCAAATTTAGAAAGAAATTTGCTAACATTTATGACATCAAATAGGTATACTATAGAAATATGTCTATGACAAACACAAATCTAATGATTCTTATTCGGTAATATAAAAATTAGTATTCTAATGTATAGATTGATCAAACTTTAGATAGTTTGACTTAAACAAAACTAAAACATATAAGTTTTTTAGGGACGGATAGAGTAGCTGGCTTGCAACTTATTTTAGATAATGAGCTGGCTTGCAACTAGCAGCCACTAGCTATGAACTGACAGCGCGACATGCCCTTCCATGCCCGTAGATGAACCTGGCATCATCCTCGGTGTATACATGGGTCTCATTCAGCAGCCTGTATCAACAATGCAAATCAGGAGAGCACATTACACATTGACAGTGCACACTGCACACAGGTGTAATAGCCAATTCGGTGCCTAATTAACTGAACATATGTACGCTACTTACGACTGATGAACGCTCTTGTTCAATGTGGTGGAGGAAATGAAGAACTCCCCGCTCAGGTAGGCGAGCTCTCCCTCGACCCTGTCTCTGATTCTTTCGTTGATCTGCTGAGCAGTGAGATCGAATGGATGGTCCGAGGCCTGAAATGCTATGGTGAGCCACAATGCATGAAACTGGAATGTCGAAACGAAACAGCACACAGTAAGTTCATGACAGTGCGAGATTACCATGACCCAACCCCAGGTGTCTGAGAAAGATGGAACATGGGCAGTGTAAGCTCGAACATCTGCGGCACAAAGTAATTGGCAAACGGTTACAGGCTTAAAAAGATGACATATGGTCCTTATCATCCCGTTAACAGTAGGTGCTGAAGAAATAAGGCCGACAATTGACGTCACTCCTTCATCTGAAAAACAAGAACACTCACATTTGAAGACATGCCTAAGGGTGTTGTAAATCGATGAGAAGACTTGTTTGTGAGTGAGAACACCAGCAGGTCCAGCCTATTGGGATTGTGCAAATGATCAACAATTTTCCATTAGCAGACTGACATGTTGAAGCTCGAAACTGTTGTGATTAGGGGAATGTGGATTATACTTATACCTGGGTGACGAAGATGCCCTGGCCATTAAGCTTGGGCTTTACGATAAGCCCGTAGAACGATTTGGTGTACAGCTGATAGCAGGGCCTCCTTCCACTGGATCTGCCAGGTCTCCTACTATCACGTCAAACTTCTCCTTGCTCTTCTCCAGCTCAGCCCTGCATGCATAATGCAGATTTTATGCTAGGCTTAATACAAACTGTTGTTGTGATACCTGTCCAATATCATCTTTAGGAACAAATCTGCAAATTCTCACATCTTTCTTCTTTCAGATAAGCAATTAACAAGCTGCAAACGGAAAATGAGATACATACACACCTGGCGTCATTGATGATGAGGCAGAGCTTTTCGCTGCTGAACGCTTGGCGGTTCGCCGTCAGGTACGTTCGGCAGAAGTCCACTACCTCCTGATCAAGCATATGCGGATACGCCACACCATGAGGTAATTCCAAAATAAACGGCGTGTTTACTTTGTTCCCCACAACATGTCGTGACCTGTGATTCGGTTGTGTACCTGATCTATGTCGCACATGGCCACCCTTTGAACGGTCTTGTGCCTCAGGACCTCCCTTGCCGCAGAGCCCTCGCCGCCTCCCATGATGAACACTGTCTCCGGGCTGAAGAGACAGCGGCAAAGGATCAGCGCATGATGTTAATCAGTTGTTGTCCAAAATGCTGGTCTATCGGAATACAAAGAGTGATCAGTCCAGCAAATTGAAATCGCTTTCCGAAGTTAAAAGTTGCACGGCCAAGAATTACTACTAGTGCAGAAATTTGATGCTTGATTTGAACTTTCAAATGGTGAAAAATATAGAAGCGCAAGCAAAAATTACCTGACTGACAATCTGTTAAAAGAATCACTACCTATCTGAGTGAGTGAGTGAGTGGTAGTGGTGGTACCGCATGCATACTTTGGATGGAAGAGCAAAGGTGGGTGTATCAAGGACTCGTGGTAGATGAACTCGTCCATCTCCGTGCTCTGCATCTTCCCATCGATTATCAAAGCCTGAAATGCTACCGACAACGTTGTTAAACGTGGCTGCGCGCGCGCGCGCACACACACGCACGATCTAACTGAACTGCAACATACCTTGCCAAAATGCTTCGTGTCGAGGAGCACGATCTCCTGGTACTTGCTCGCCCCTCGGTGCAGCACGCTGCGGCAGCAAAATCAATCAGGTTTGCCTACCTCTCCATTCAAGGCAAAAACGAATCGAATCACGTTTGCGTGCGTGTGAAACTGTCAAGCTTCACCTGTTAAGAGCGTAGCACAGCTTGAGGTCGTCGTCGATCTCCTCCTGGTACCACCCGCTCTCGGCCTCCACATCAGGTTGCTGCTGCTGCTTCGGCGGCGCTGGCGGCGGCAGCTGCTTGCCGCCGTAGCCCTTGCTGCTCACGTCGCCGGGCAGATCCTCGGCCGGCACGGCGCCTACCACGACGCGCTCTTTGTCGTGGCAGGATGCGTGACAAAACTATGATGATTCCAGGAGTAGTTGGACAGGGAGGCCAAGTGATGCGATTATCCCAACGGTGGCCCGACAAATACAAACCACGTGATACGGCCGTGTGGTGTGGCTTATCCGCGCAGCGCCATTGGTTGCATGCATGTAGCATGTTTGTTTTAGTTAACTTCAGGCATCTTTGTCTGGCTCCAGAGCTGCTCGCGTCTGGTTTTTGGACATGCAGGACCACGATGCATATCTGGCTGGTGCTACTATGCCTGAGAGGACATCAAGCAAACAGGCATGTAGGGCAGCCCGGCCCGGTATGTTCCTATAGACCAAACGTGTGTTTGGTTTCCTGGCCTATTTCTAACCAGGCTAGCTTGAATCCTGGACAGCTTTAGCCTGTTCTCAGCGAGCTAATTCCTAGTTGTTTGCCTTTCATACATTCTGTTGAACAAGTGGTGGGTGTACAGGGGAAGGAATGAGAAGGACCGAGCAACTCTGCTCCTCCTCTGCCCCCTCGCCATGGCCGGCGACACAGCACCTCTGCTGGGCCCGCGCGACGGCGCGAGACCGCCGCCGCACAACGGGAGCAGATAGGATCTGGCACAGCGGGGCCGCTGCCGTGCGAGGCTCGGACGCAGTGGGCGTAGCTGGAGCAGACGGGGTCTTTCTTCCTTAGCGCAGTGCGAACCGCCACGGGTCTGGTGGTGGTGGTGGTCAGAGCCGCCTGTGCTGGTGTCGGTGGCACGCCACCACATCGGCCTTCCCTCCGCCCCTGCCATGCAAGACCCTAGGGAGGACACACCAGGCAAGGACGGAAACGGATGGCCGGGGAAGCACCAGGCGAGGATGGACACACCAGGAGCTCGCCGGGGGAAGGGATGGTCGGCGCACGAACGCGGTGGAGTTGCGCGCTCAAACTTCGCGGGAAGTGAGGCGACTAGACACGAGCGCTAGCCGGGGCTTGGCTCTAGAAAAAGAGACAATTCTCTGGGTGCCATTAAAAAAGATCGCAATGCCCTATGTGTTCTTAAAAAAGTTAAGCGGTCTTCAGCGCCACTATTCCAACTTTTTCGTGTCCTTCATGTATAGATGGCCATCGGGCCGTGCTCGACCCGCCGACGCGATGTCGCGTGCTCGCCGATGCGGTGCCGTGCCACCGGGCCGGTCGGTCGTCAGTCATCTTGTTGGCGTGCTCGTGCTCAGCCTCCGCCCAAGGCACGGCCTGTGGGTCTGTTTTGGCTGCGGTTGCCGTGCCGCCGAGAACACGGTCATGCCGTCCGCTGCCCGCAGCATGCTCGAAGCTAGCTGCCGAGCTCAAGACGACGACGGCGTATGGAGATTGGAGAAGCCGACGGCCGCAGAAACCAGAGAGAGAGAGAGGAGGTGACCTCGCAGGCCACGACGAGTCCCTAGGGGCTGGGGCCGGCGCGGGAACGCGGAGCTCGGGGCGCTGGGGCCGTCGCCCGCCGAGCTCACTCCCAGGTCCGGCGTCCCTGGGGCTGGGGCCGGCGTGTCGAGCTCACTCCCAAGGCGGAGCTCGGGGCTCGGGCCGGATTCAAGGATATTTGAGGAGGTGCCCAGTAATGCTGGCGTGCCAGCATTGCCGGCAGCGTGGATGGGGAGCGGGGAGGGGCTGCGAGCTCGCGACGATTGCATCGCTGTCCGCTGTTCATGTTGCCGTGGTGGTGTGGGGTGGGTGCGCGGTGGGGGCGTGGGGCGTGGGGTGTTAGGGGTTTGGGAGGGTATAGGTGTGGGGGTGGGCCTCTTAGTGGTGGCTGGCCGGGCCACTACCGGGCCGCCTCTTGAACCGGTCGTGCCTGCGTGTGTGCATGGGCTCGAGGGCGGCCTAGGCACGACACGGTGCCTCGTAGGACGGAGAGACTGCACGTGACCAGGCAGTGACCGTGCGTGCTCAGGCCAAACGCCAAACGAACCACGGGCCAGCCATCAGTCACATGGGCTGCATGTACACATATACCTTCATGCCACTTTCATCAGTTTGGGCTCTAACACCGTTAAACTACAGGTGTGAAAAGACAAAAATACCCTTAAGTCTAAATATGTTATTAATTTTTTGAGCATCTTAACGACTTCAAATAAAAAAACTCAAAACTAGAAAGTTGTAGATATCGTCGAGATCTATAATTTTTATATAAAAATTATTTTTATTTAATTCCGCAAAAAAATGATTTTTCTAAGATATATTAATCATATCAAATCATTTTTTTTTGGAATTAAATGAATCTAATTTTTATATGAAAATTATAGATCTCGACGAGATCTACAACTTTCTAATTTTGAGTTTTTTCATTTCAAGTCGTTAAGATGCTAAAAAATTAATAACATATTTAGACTTAAGGGTATTTTCATCTTTTCACACCTGCAGTTTGACGGTGTTAGAGCCCAAACTAACGGAAGTGGCATGGAGGACACGAAAAAGTTAGAGTAATGGCGCTGGAGACCGCTAAACTTTTTCAGTGGTACGTAGGGCATTGTGATCTTTTTTAATGGCACACAGAAAATTCCCCCCTAGAAAAACGGCCGCTCCTCACGTTCTTTTCAAGCCAGACAAAGGGGCGTACAGTGGCTCCAGGAAGCTAGGCTACAGCCAATTACAACCAACCAAACAAGTAAGCACCCAACCAAACACACCATATATGTCCGGTGAACCTGCGTTCTCTGCCTCACTGCAACGCATGTGTCATGTGCCTCATTTTGTCTTGCCCGGTATGCCACTATGCCTCGTCTCTCTGCCCGTGCTTCGTTTTCCTTAGGGGTGGGTATTTGGGATTGCTCCATAAACTCTGCTTTACAAACTCCACAGTGAAATAGCTCCATAAAAAACTGAAGTTTGTGGAGCATTTCTTTAGGTGCTCTCACAACTCCACATTTTTTTCTTGAACAGAATGTGTGGAGCTAAAAACGTTTGGTTAAAAAACATGGAACGAAGCTAAAAATCGTGGTGCGGAGCGGTCCCTAACACCCATTAAAACTCACTATATAAAACACGTGTATCCAACCACGCTGGCAAGCTCGCGTCGCGTGCTTTGCATGCTGTGTGGTGATTTAAATTCGCGCTGAAGGGCCCTCATCCGTCTCTCCTCCCTCCCTCCGTGAATGAAGGGCCTCGTCTCTTGCATTCACTTTCGCCCTGAATGTGGCGATTTTTAAAGATTGCACAAGCTCCGCAATTGTTTACGGTGATTGTGATGAGGACATGACCTCCATACATATGACCATGCTTGAAGAACCATATGGAGACCAAGGAGATCAGCGAGGGTGTCCTAAGTGAGAAGGAGGCTCGAAGCACATCCGGTTCGAGTCACCAAGGTGGAGGCCCAAATCAAGTTCGAGTCCATCTCAGCCTCCAGGACCAGTCTGCCTTAAACTGGTCACCCAGGACGCTTCCGGACTCCGTTTTCGACGATCCACATATAGATGGAAAGCTAATTTGATAAGGAAGCCAATCCAAGTGGTCTCACGTCAAAAGCTATTCGAAATCAACGGGAATCATCGAAACAAGTCAGCGTCCAGAATCTGTCAGGATGCTGCGACACCGTATTTTGGTCTGTTGGACCATGTATCGTGTTTGGGACCATTAGGGGGCGCATCCAGGGGGTGACGTCCAAGACTCTATAATTAGTAGCCGTCGCTCTCCTTAGGGTTTGAGTTTTGTTTAGTTCTTGATTTCCTCATGAAACAGACATCGTTTTGCTACAACTGTCGCCGCTAAGGCCGCTTGCTGTGAACCAGGGCCCCAATAATTGATCTTGTTCGCCTGTGGCGATTAGTCCTTTCGAATAAAGACTTGAACTCCTTATCGTTATCATAAGCCTCATATTTATTCGTAATTTCAGATTGCGTTCATCCCGTTCTTACTTGTGTTCTTGATTCGCTTGCAGGAAAGCCTTCTCGGCGAGGTCAATCGCGTTCGCGTGGTTGATAACCAACAGAGCAGTGGTGTAACGGTTGCGGGGGTCCGAATCAGTCTTGGTTCGAAGCCTAGATCGTGAACGTCGAGTCTCCACCAATCGACGCTATCATACCTTTCGGAAGATCGGGCCTAGTCTACAATAGATTGGCACGCTGGGCATGAGTGGGAGTGGAGGATCTGTCGACATTAACCACCTCTCTTGGATTGGTTGGCTGCATGGCGCCATCAGTCACAGTGCATGTTGCCATTGACCCATGGTGGTGGTGTGCTTGTGCCGGGTGCCGGTTAACGTTTTCGCGTGCGAAAAGAGGGTGCGGCACCATGGGTTATCTTGATCGATGCTGCTGCATTATCACTCACAGTGCCTACATGTAGCCTAATCGGTGTGTTCGTCAGTAAATCGTCGCTAACCGTAGGTACCTACAAAGGCTCGAAACGTTGAATTGCGGTTACTTAGCGTCACGCTAGCAATTTCCCGTTATTCTTGCAGCATAGAGCATGTTTGGATTGATTAATACTTGGCTAGCTAATGGTCCGCTATGACAGAACCGTCTAATTTATACAAGATTAAGTATAATTGTCCCCGTTAAACACGTTGACACGCGCATACCATCACTTATATAAACCCGGTAACCCATCAAGTACCATGAAGGCCTCGATAAATCAACTTCACAACCAAGATCGTACTTGATTAAGCAAATACATATCACATACACAGGGTTGCAGTGAAAATAATATTACAATAGGGTCACAAGTAATTAATACAAGTTTAGTTTCAAATCCAATAGGTTAAAACAACATAACTTTGAAATGAATACCAAATCATAATTTTGAATCATATTGCTAGCTCTGATGACACCCTCCATCAAAAGCATAGATGAGAAGCAAATATAGAATAGCCGAGCCCACCGGTACTTAGTCACCACCTTCAGTAGACATAGCACTTCACCTGCAACAGGGTGGGATAAAACCCTGAGTACTCAATTGTACTCAGAAAGACTTACCCGATAGGAGAAAAAAATAAAGACTACAAGGATATGCATGGTTTATTTGGTGGAGCTAGCTAGATAGCACAATCTTTTGCAAAAGAGCTTACTATGTAAGTCCTTACTTTTAATATTTTAACATCAAGTTCAGTGAAGCCAATTATAGCTAAGTTTGCATCTATCCTGTAACAATCATTTGATTAATAGGTATCACAGTAGTAACCATATTCAATTATCATGATCAACAGAACCATCATGTTTCATCAGTTACTACGACTGCCGAACAATGACTAAGTTTCTCACTTATCGGGAGAGACGGTGATTCGAATCGATTACATCCAGCTAGGCAATCTCAAACACACACCCGTACGAGCCCACATTAGCTCGTGTGGGTCACCGTCCACTTCATTTCGACGGTGAGTCTGGACCGTTTCGCAAAACTCATGATCCTGCATTCTCACATGAATTGCTCGAAGCCTGAAGCCCATAGCAAACATGGTCTTGGACCAGTCCCCTCCCTTCAGGCTCTCCTCCTAGCAATGCTAACGGTCCAATATACTCAGCCCGAATGAGCTAATCGGCTTCACGATCAACTATAACTCAGGCCCCTGTTATGTGTTTGGTACCTTCAATCTCAACCAAGGTCCGACAACAAAGCGGTCCTTAAATGACATAGATGGGATCAAAGAATACATGCCAAGCCGGTATCAACAACAACCATAATAGCACCGGATCCCGTCCGATCTCTAGTTATCCATTATCACCTAGTTCTTTTCCACGATAGCAAATATAGCCAATCATGTTAGAGTAGCCACCTATGTCTCGTAGACGACAGGAAACACCTGACTTCTACCGGTCTAAGCATAGCTAAGCATAGAGCGATCTATACATACTAGTAAGGATACAGGTATATATATTGTAGACAAGGTAAGACATGCAGCAATGGTTTTCAATTCAGCTCCTATACTTAATGCACAATACAAAATATAAACTCAAGTGTATTTTAAAAGAGGTGTAGGAGGCTTAGAATGCTCTGATGAAAGCTCTAGTTTGGTTTTGGTGAATTGATGAAACCCTAAGTGCTAACTGAGTTTATCAAAGTGATTATGAGATAGGTAGCACTACTCTAAGTGGTGAAGCAAATAAAGATCATGACATGATGATGTTGTTGCCATGGTGATGATCAAGTGCTTGGACCTGAAAAAGAAGTAAAAGAAAAATAAAAGGCTCAAGGCAAAGTATAAGTGGTAGGAGTCTTTTGTTTCGGTGATCAAGACACTTAGCGAGTGTGATCACATTTAGGTTTGATAGCCATACTATTAAGAGGGGTGAAACTCGTATCGAAATATGGCTATCAAAGTGCCACTAGATGCTCTAACTCATTGCATATGCATTTAGGATCTAGTGGAGTGCGAACACCCTTAAAAATGTTTGTGAAAATATGCTAACACATGAGCACAAGATGATACACTTGGTGGTTGGCACATTTGAGTAAGAGTTAGAAACTTCACCGGTGCCCTGTTCAGAAAAGACAGAGTTTCACAGAGTGCACCGGACGCTGGTCTCAACTGGTCGGAGTGTCCGGTCAGTGAAAGCAGTGAAGACGATGGCGTCGGTCTTGACCGATCAACGCTGGGTCACTTTGTGACCGGACGCTGGCGGAGTGCATCCGGTCCTACTGACGTGGCAGCGCACAGAGGAGACAGTGAGTGACCGGAAGCTGGGTGAGTCCGGTC